GTTTCTTTTCAGTTATTTAAACCAACTGTAAAAAATGTAAAAACTGCGAGTGAATCTCCATGTTTTGATTTTAAAGAAAGAGTGCTACAAAGAGCATATGCGGCCTTTTTCTGCATCTGAAATCAGCCTTTCTCTGCTCACTCGAGTGTTGAGTGTCTGTGGAGTGACTGTGGAAACTTTCACACAGAACTGAAGATCTTTTTTTTTATTTTCGAGCAGCACTTGTATATCTCAAGTGGCGCAGTCCTGATGAATTCAAGGATCCCCTATTCTTCCAGTTTTGCATTTCTAGCATTTTTTGTAGCAACTTTTCAAGCTGTTTACAAGCGAGCGACATAAGGACTCTTCACAGAGATCTCAACAAATTCTGGCTCCCTCATCTAAACATTTAAGTATTTCTTATAGGTTTTAAAACCTAAAGCATCGGTGTACAACCAAACACACCCAGCTTTAATGTTGGCATCTGAAGGACTATTGGTTCTCTGGAGGATTGCTGGAAGTCAGTTCATACTAGCGAGACATTTTTTAACACAACCTGCCTACTTCTCATTTCATGTTAACTTCAGAACAAAAGTTTAAGGAATGTTGAGGAATATTCAGTAAGTCTGTGTGCATACATTTGTATGTGGCCTTGTTTACTATTATTCTTAAAATAAAATCTCGTGTAACTAAATAGGCTTGTTAGTGAAGGTAAGTTGAGCACAGTCATTAATACAAAAACACAGCAGACAGGCAGCGATGCAGTTGTGGGGAAGCTAGGACGTAAAATAGTACACTAGATCTGAACATTTCACAGAATTCAGTTCATCATCTGCAGAAATACGATGGACTGAATTCCACCTACGTTACATTGCATTCACCTAAATTTACAGGTTTGACGAGGAGAGCACTGATCAGAGAAGCAACCAAGAAGGCCATGGTAACTCTGGAAGAGCTGCAGAAATCCACAGATCGAGTCGCAGGATCTTTTAACATAAATCTAACCGTATTGGACAGGAACCAAGAAAAAACCCGTTACTGAAAGGAAGTCAGTTAAAAACAATATTTAATTTTCTTCACAAGGAAAGTGGTGGTGACAGCATAATGCTTGGGATAACATAAAATAACACTTTTCAAAGCAGTGTCAGAATTAATGAAACGCATATGTTTTGTGTAAAGGTAAACGAACATCACTGATGCTATTTATGGCAGCAGGAAGACCATCTGTGTGATCAGCCGACACTACCTGCAGAGCGAATGGTGCTCCAGAGAGATCCAGATGGCCTGGTGCCGGTCGACTGTTGCTTTTAAGTCTTTTTAAGCAGAAAAAAAATGAAATTGGCAGCAGAAAGTGGAAAGTTGACTTGGCGTGTCACAGAGCAGAAATCCTGTGAGATTTGATGCTTGGACAAATTTAGTCTTTAGCATTAATGGAGCTTGTCAGATAATGCACGGACCTGGATCTTAGTGGAAAAATATAAAATATGTTGTTTATCTGAAAAAATAAGAATTAATTGAATAAAAATAAACTAAAATGAAAATAAGTATTAGATTATGGAATAGTATAAGTTGTAAAATTTCCATTTGAGGTCGGCCCACAGCACCACTGACCTTGTAACTTCCGGTTTTTAATACTGTAAACTTTTACATTAAGCCTTTCAAATGTACATGTGTGTGTTTTTTCCAGGTGACAAATTAGCCAATGATTAATTAAGTTGACTGAGCAGAAAAATGCATTTACCTTGACAATAAGATCGGGTGGTCCGCTTTACCTAAATGAAAAACAGCACCAGGGATACGTGGCTAAGAACAATTGTTTTATTAATGCTACTTTTTTATAAGGTGACCTGAGACAATATTTGGTGTAACTGATGCTTTTACGGTCAAACTACCCCAGATACATTGGCTAAAGGTTAGTAAGCCAGAAAAATGTTGTCATCATATTACCTAATAGTCATGTTGTCCTCCAGGCATAGATGTGAAAACTGCAGTCGGACGATGCGTCAGCAGAAAATGTTTTTCTCGGTTTCTGACATTTGGCAGCATTCTCTTCTCTTTTGTCTTTTCTCAAATGTTGCGCTCTTCCTGTGTTTCTTCTCCATTTTTGAACTTCTGATTCCTCTTCTCCTTCTCTGGTGTTTATTGGTAGTTGGCAAACAACAAATTGATGCACTAGTGCCATCAGCTGGCATGGAGTTGAATAATTCGTTTATTTATTAATTTTATTTTATTTTTTTGGCCGCACCAGCCCACTGGGAACAATCCCGATACTCCTGATGGCCAGTCCGTCCTTGCTGGATACTAATAATCATTTTATTGGTTTGACTTTCTTCACCAAATGTACCAGAGGGACTTGTACTCGTTAAGTTATATGCCGCTCTCTTGGTATTTGGTCATCATGCCCCATGAGAAGGACTCCAAGCTAAAGAGAGATAAAAGGTGCCAACATTAACATTGTTGGTACCTCAGCAATCCAAGAAATCTATGACTTCATAATCTACTGTTATCAACTTACAGCAGACTTGAAAATGTTGTCATTTTGATAAGCTAACCTTTTTGAACAAACCTAAAACATTGCTATTATTCTAATACAATTTCTCTGTAAAATGAAATGTTGCAGCTTTCGCCTGTTTGATGAGAAGAAGGATGTTCTGATCCTGCTGTTTTTAGAAAACATTCCTGCTCATCATCTGTCTCCATATTTACCGCATGAGGAAGCTGATGAAGAAGCGCACCGACCTGAGCTGGACCCAGGCTGCACAACATCCGGGCTCTGCAGGCAGGGGGCGCTCTCACTGAAAACACCGACCTGCTGATTGATCCAACAGGAGAGTAAAAACTTTAACAGCGTTAAACTCACTGAGCTGCATTATCTTCCAATTTAATATTACAGATTTATATAATCGATAAATTAAGATGAGATTTGTTTGAAAACAACATTTGAGCAGGCAAACATTTTTTGTTAAACCCACATTTCTCCTTTAATGACTGATGTAATATTCTAATCTTTAATATCTTGTTTTCATGAGTTGCATGTTAAAAAAATTATAATTACCAGAAATAAAGGTTTGAAAACAACGTCTGTAATTACAATATAGAAAAATAATTCTAGTTTATTAAATATGAGTACATATTTAATAAATATATAATAAATAAATATGCTAATAACTACTTATTTTAGTTATTAACATGTTATCTGTTTATTTAACCTTTTGTTCTTTATATATTTCAGTTTTCTTAAAAGTTTTATCATTTGTGTATTTTGTTTTACTGTCTATACTGTGATGCCATTCAGGATGTTTATCAAGTCATTGTAATTTGAATTGACCTTTACAGGGTATTCAATAAACGTTTCTAATGAATCATAAAACAACTTAGTTCATTTATATGAAACTGTTTTAATAACCTGCTATAAAATTATTACATCCTTTGGATATGAGATTGTTAAAGTTACATTATGGTTTAACACCAACAGTAACAGGATGACCCTTTGTTGACTCTGAAGGTTGAGATCCCAGAATTTTGATGATTTGTTCCTTTTCTGTTTCTGCCATGATAGACCAAAAGCGCCATCTAGTGCTCGCCCTTCATATTTTGTTTTGCAGGATTTTTTTGTGGACTGTACCCTACAGTAAGCAAATTATTACACAAATAGTCTCTGCTCCAGAAATATCTGGGAGGTTTTTGTTGTTGTACATCACGATAAAAAATGTCCAAGGGTGGGAATTTATGAGAAAATATCTTCTGTTTTTATTTTCTTGTTTACAAAAAGTAACATTCTGCAAATTATTTAAAGTCTTCTTACTCACCTTTAATAAAACGTTTTTGACATTATAATAATCAAATCCTTCTAAGTTTTTATATCCTAGCTATAAGCCTAACCTTTGACTTTTGGTACAGACATTATTTATTGTTATCCATCACACAGCTTTTACCAGGGGAAAGTTAAACATGTATATGAAGGTTGGCACACCATGTCCTGGTTGGAGCATTGCATCACTACAGCTGATGCTCATGCTGTTATGTTACACATTAATATTTTATACGATGTGTCCATCACATCCCCTTCGAGGTGTCAATTAGATTTGATCGTATACCTACAACTGTAAATGTAGTTTCCAATCCTGATCAGAAACACCGAGACTGGTCTTCTCTAGCCTAGCTAGCTAGCCTATCATTATGGCTGGTGATCAATTGTTACGCAACAATCCAGTCCTTGTGTCTTTCCCTGTTATGAACCCTTTTGGGAAGGTCACATTATTGTAGCTGACACAAAAATTAAGTTACTAATCTTGGTTTGAAGAGAGCATCGATAAAAATAGTTTGATGTAACTTCTGCACACTATTTAACAGTCGAGTAGCAATAATGAAAATAACAGGTGTATAAATGAGGCCGATTTTTGTTGTCGTTGCAATACAAATATCAAATACTGTGATGATATTTAGGATCTAATGTAGGTCACCTTTAAACTCCTGGCATGGATGGATTTCATCAAAGGTGGAAACACATGGGGGCTTTGATGGCACACAGCCTTTTTGACTGAACAACATGACTTTGATGTTTAGCGCTAGATGCCATTTAGTCTAAATTAAGATACAATCTTTCAACAATTATATTTAGGGAGAGACGAGTGGAGTATAGAAATGTATAATTAGTGTAAAGATAAATGGAGAAACTATAGAAACTAGAATTTAGTTTGTTATGTAGATGGAAGTTTGAGTGGGACCTGAACTCTGTGGAATGCCTTGATATGTTTTAATGCTCTTAATTTTTCTTTTATTTACATTTCACGTCTGTAGCTGTAGCCCCCAGTAAAAGAATGACACATCTGCATGCGAGATTATTATTTTAGATAAAATATTTTTCTGGTTTGCTGCAGTATGTAGTGTGAAATCTCAAATTAAACTTTAAAAATATAACTAAAAATGTTCTTAACTGTTCCACAGTGAGGAAATTCAGATGCAACAGCAGCAAACTGACATGCAACTTATTTTGTTTCTCATGCTTCACAGTCTTTTTCAAGTCAGCCATCTTTTGAAAGGTGAGTATTTTTAAAGCTTGTTAAAACCACACTGAACTTTGCATAAAGAAGAAACTATAAGATAAGATGGGGGGTGCTTTTTTTAGGCACATGTGACTTCTGTTCAAATTTCAAATCATATTCAAAGTTGTATTCAGAATAAAATAACTCATGTTTTACTATTTTAGCAAAGCTGCTTTATTGTAAAGACTGCATTTAATTTTAACAGAAGGTGCCATTTTCTAAAGACTCTGTCTTGACAGACACTCTTTTTATGTTTTTAGTAGTTTGAGTTGGTCAGAACCATTAAATATCTAAAGTCCTGCATTTGTTGTGTCCACAGGTAAACCCATCATAGAGAACATCACCGATGCCATCTACGGCAGCAGGAAGACCATCTGTGTGATCAGCCGCAGCTACCTGCAGAGCGAATGGTGCTCCAGAGAGATCCAGATGGCCAGGTGGGGGCGCTGTTTTTAATAAATTCCTTTTAAAAATGTCAAACAGAGTATAGTTTTCTTTGTACTCTCATCATCAGATTTGAGAATTAAAATGAAAATATTTCAGTCTTTTTGGATTTGCTGCTGTTGTTCTATTCTGGAGATGTGCATCTCAATAAATTAAGATATTATTGTAAAGTGATAACTAGACACAAAGTGTGATTATAACAGTTCCTGTCACATTGTTTTTTCTTCCACTTAACCTTCTTGATACAGCATCACCTACTTTAGAAATAAACCTGAAACCTCCTTTAAGATTGTACCAATGACGGCTGGACAACCAAATAAAACCACTTGAGTTGTAAAATATTTAACAACCTGAATGAAGATGCCTGCGTTTTGAATACTAAGAGGGTCAGGGTTTTGTAAGTAAGCTTCTTTAAAATGCATTTGGCATTTAGTTTTTAAATTATAAATAATTATATTTTTTATATCCTTTCTACATCATCTTAATTATAGTTTAATCGACTTGCATCATGTTTTATTGTAAAGTACTGACTGGAGGAAACTAAATAAAGATCAATAACTATATAGATAAAGTAACTAAACCTGAACTTTTAGCTCAACATAGTATAGCAATAAAATACTTTTGTATCAAAAATTAAGATTTATGGTGTTAGAGACAACGTTGTGGGTTTTGTTTGCTCCAATCAAAGCAATAACAGTTTCCATGGTAACATGAGTAATTAAAATGCACCTGTACATGAGAATAAATGTATTTTCAGTGTTATTAGAGAGTATGTGGCTGCAAATCACAGCAGCTATAATGTTACTGCAAACACAGAAAGAAACTATAGATTGAAACTACTTGCCATGATAAAACCATTTAAATAAAGTGTGAATTATTATTTATTTTTTACATTTTGCAGCTTTCGCCTGTTTGATGAGCAGAAGGATGTTCTGATTCTGCTGTTTCTGGAGGAGATTCCTGCTCGTCACCTGTCTCCATATCACCGCATGAGGAAGCTGGTGAAGAAGCGCACCTACCTGAGCTGGCCCCAGGCTGCACAACATCCAGAGGTTTTCTGGCAGAACGTCCAGAGAGCTCTGCAGGCAGGGGGCGCTCTCACTGAAAACATCGACCTGCTGCTGGACGGACCTGCAGGATGTTGAAAATAGTAACTCAGATGAAAAAGATCCAAATGGTGAATAATGTAAAACTATAAAAAGTCAAGAAACTTTTTTTTTGTTTTTTATTACTTAAATATTTACTGAATTTTTTAAAGAACATTAAAAACATAAAATACAAATATCACATAAACAAAGCAAAATATATTAATAATACATTCACAACAAAATGTAAATAATTGTAAACTGAAAGTAACTTGTAAAAAAAATTAAGTCATTGTCAATTTTCAGCAGCTTACAGTGCTAAGAAAAAAAAATAGTTCAGAAAAAGTGTTGATTAATCTTAACATTTCTTAACGTTGAGTCACAATAAATAATCTTGAGAAAAATAAATAAATGCTCTTGCAAAACATGCATGTTTATGTTTTATAAATGCAAAACATAAACCATTTATGTTTTGCAAAAATGGTGCCTCATTTATGCAAAACAGGTTGCTGAATGGAAAGGTTGAGAACTGAATGTCTTTAAGATTATAACTATGTTATGAATGTAATAAAAACAGTGATAACAGTTATTATTATTACTCTCTCATTACGTTGCTATTTTCTGTCCTCCAAATATGCATAAATGAGAAAACACCCTTTATTTCCCTTGTGAATGATGCATTGTTTGTTGCTGTTTTAGGAACAGGCCTTATTGTTCCTCTTTTTTGCTTCCTGTCGCAGCAGAGTGGAGCAGAGAAAGCAGAACCAAACATGAAGTTCATATCCGTCACTTTTTACTCATTTTACAGGTTTGTTTCACTTTAAACAGTTTGCACTAAACAGATTTACCAGTTGCCATTTTATTAGCTTAATTTTAAGGCAAATAATTAAGCTCGTTAAGTAATTACTCATTATAATAAGGTAAGTAACACCACTTTTAAATCATGGTTGGTAATACAAGTGAGTTTTAGCATCAGTTTTATACATGTTTGGAAACAGTAAAAACAGCAGCCAAATGCTCTGGTTTCTGTTTACTGGTTTGGAAGAGAAAAGTAAAAACAAATAAATTGAATCTGCTGCTGAAAAGGAAACTAAAAATACTGAAAATGAAAAATTGCCCTGCAGACCATAGCCCAAGAAAAATATTAAATTATCAAGCTACGTTTACTTTATTTATTGTGACAAGATAAAATAAACTAAAATAGTAAACAATACGTAATAACGTCTTAAATATGTTTGTTGTTTTTCTCTTTTTATTTTGCTCTTTTGGTTCTTTAGGTATTAATTTAGTCACTTATTTTTACATGCATTGATTCTTTACTTTTTATCAGTTGCTTTGATGAAGCGGCTTTAACTTACCATAAAGTTTTATTACTAATTATTTTTGTTATGGTCTATGACTTTAGTTAAGTTGACTGTATCTTGCCCTTTCTCTTTTTTAAAGATTTGGTTTCGCTTCACTGGTGTTCCTGAAATGCTCATGCTTTATGCTCCGTTAGTCACGGTCTCATTCCTTTTCTTTTTATAAAACCATTCTCTTTTTCCTGTATTTCTCTAGTGCTCACTGAGTTCTGTAACTGAGAACCGGAACCAGATCTTTATTCTGGTGGTTAGATACATTCCATCATCATGTTGCACCGTCCAGTTCCCCTTTAGGTTTTATTTATTTATCGGACATGTTCCTCAACAACCTTTTGATAAACATGGTGGATTCTAAGATGCTGAGCTGGCCAAGTCCTGCAGCAGCAAAGATTATCCCCAAAATAAAAACCAATACCGTCACCTTCATGTTTCAAAGTTTGCATGAGGTTTTTTTCCCCAAGAATACAATTTGATCCATGCCAAACATGTCCAGGAGAAATGATGAGACGGGAAGCAGCGTGTTCTGGTTTGATGAAGCCCCGCTTTAGAGCTTTTAATTTCAAATTTGTATTCAAAATTAATTTCAATTCACATTTCTGTTATAAATTAAATGTTTATATGTTTACAATAAATTTCTATTCTCCTTATAATTATCTTTTTTTAAAATAATCCATTTCTATATGCCTGTTCATATGCCTCTATCTTTAAACATATAACCTGAAAATAGTGCTTTCATTTGGATATAGGATTTGGGTATTTTTTGTTACTTATATTAATTATTGTGATTTACGTCTTTAAAATACAAAAAATTCCCCTTAACTTTATATTTTTGCTCCAATGTAAAGAGTATGTAATTTTTAAATATTAAATGATTGACAATTTGATCAGATACTCGGTTCTTCAGCAGACTTTTTACCAAATATTTTTTCACTTTTACTCAAATGTGTTTGGATGGCTACTTTTTACTTTTACTTGAGTAAAAAAGAAACATCTCCCCACACTGAAAAAACATTAAAAGAAAGTTAATGTGATTGAATTAAGTGTGTCTAACTTACTTTATTTACATTTATTTAACATACCAACTTAATAAATTGACTTGGATTTATTATTTAATTTAATGTGTGAATAATTAAATCCATGCAATTAAAAACACAGAAATTGTGTTTTAATGACTAAAAGCTTCCAACATATCTTTTGTCCAATTTTTGTGCTTGGTGAAGTGACTTCCTCACAGACGTAAAACACGTTTACCTCCTCTGGCCACACTTTGTACTCTATTTATTCTGTTTTATTGCCTCACTCCCCTTTCACTTCAGTAAACTTCCTTGTGAAAGGACAGCAGTGCATCTGAAACAAGGAACTAAAGCGACACACAATAAGGAAAAGGTCAAAATCCAGATGGGGATTGTTTTGTCGGTGCATGTTACCACTAAAGGAAATTAACAATCTCACCTCAACTTATCCTGAAGACATTTTAAATATCTGTACCTCTAATAACGTACAGCATGATAAATCCTTCCAGATATAATTTTCAAAGAAATCTGCAGTATTTGTAAAATCATTTATATTTAAATCTATACTTAATTCATGATGACAAATCATTCAAATTAATTATAACAACATGGCTTGGTGCTATTTGGACACCTTCAGCATTTTAAACATTTTAATGAAGCCAAAATGCATCACATGCCTTCTGTTTTCCTTTTTAATTTAAGGAAGTCTCAAGAGAGATAGCTGACCACCCCTTTCAGTCCTCATTTCTCTATTTTAGCTCCAGAAATTGAACATGAAGATGTGACGACAATCAGTGAGTATCAATTACATTTATTAATCGCTGAACAACTGACAAATATGAAAAAAAGTTTCATTAACTTTCCATTTTTTCAAGAAAAGGAAACATTTACCTTTAAATTAAATTAAAGTTTGCTGTTTAGATATAAATGAAACACTATCAATGTGAACTCATGAAGTCAAATAGACTGAATGTGGTGTGCAGGATCAGTGTATCATTATGAACTCTGAACAATGAAAGATATTTACTGTTAAACAAAGATCAGATGTTTATTTTGGACACATGTCATGAAATCTTTAAACACGGTGAGAAACCAGCCTCTTAAACTCATAAAATTAACCATAAAATTAAAACATTTTTAACCTCATGGCTTTGTTAACGTCTGTAAATGACTAGACGAGCTTCACAATGAGAGTTTAGAGACAGGAAAACAGGAGCTCTTATAGAGTCTAACAGAAAAATTGTATTTCTGTTTTATTGTTTTTATTCTAATTTCTAAAATTAAATAAAATTTCTCTAGATTAATCCAGGTGGATTCACATCAGCCCAGTTCTCTGCCTATAAAGTCTGGTTCTTAGGCAAATTTATCATGATATATTTAATTTTGACAATGGTTCTCATGATAAAATCCAATTAATGATGTTTTAAAAAAAAACAATATAATTTGTATTTCAGGATTAATTTGTTTTGTATTTTTACTATTTTGTCGGCATTAGTAAATAAATACGTTATAAAAATGTGATAAAATGGATTAAAAAAAAGAGAAAGTCTCGTTTGTTAGATTGCACAATCAAACTTTTATGCGGACAACAGAAAAAAAATAAATCTCTGGTCCGCCTAAAAATCTAAGTCTCGGTTCGAAGGCATATGTGGACACAAGCGGGCCGGAAACCGCTCCAAAAGCAGGAAGCAGGCTGTAGCGCAGGGCATTCTGGGTAAATACATCCAAAACAAACATGTTAGATGGAGAAATGACTGTTAGTCTTTCACCAAAGATAAAAAAATAGATCCTACAACCGCTAAAATCTCCATTTTTGTTTACATTTTGTAAAGGAGGAAGATGCGTTCCGTGTTGTCTCCAGAGGATTGCATGTTGTTTCCTTCAGCGGCTTGTGGTGCAGCGCCACCACAGGCGAGGAGGGAAACAGCTTTTTCAATTAGTTTGGTTCGTTTGCAGTGTGAAAGAGAACCGCACCAGCTGAAAATGTTGCAATTACTGCAATTATTAATGAGAAATGTATTGCTTATTGTGCTCCACAGATGATCTACGTAACAAACTGAACAAGCATGGCTTTGCTTTTAAATTTCATCCTGAGACTTTTCTGTTTCCTCCTTCATATTAACCCCTCTCTGACCTATTCACTGAAAAACTGTTCAATACTTTATGAGGACAACCCGTCCGCTGGTGTTTCTGTGGACTGTGCGAACAGGGACCTTGTTTCCGTCCCTGACGACATTCCCAAAGAGGCCGTTTCAATTGAGCTCAGGGGCAACAGCATTCAGAAAATTAAAGAAGATTTCCGGGGCATGTCTAGGCTGAGATATCTGGGTCTGAGAAAAAGTGGCATCACTTCTGTGGATGATGGATGTTTCAATGATTTGGTTTCATTGGAAACACTTGTGATGAGAAACAACGACCTCTCCGCCCTGACTGCAAACATGTTCCAGGGTCTGTCGAATCTCACCACGCTTGATTTAAGCTCTAGTGGTATTTATTTCATCCATACATCTGCCTTTCGGTTCCTGACAAGCTTAAAAGTTTTGAACTTGGATTATAATGCGCTAAAAACCACTGACGAAATTCAGCCCATCTTTCAGCTACCACAGATACAGACGCTCAGCCTCAGATGTAACGAGCTGTCGTCTTTTGAGAGCAAAAACTTCCTGCTGAACAAATCCTCAAGTTTACAGCAGCTGTTTATTTCTGGTGGCTCCCTGAGAAAGTTCAGCATCACAACACCCACCTTCCCTCACCTTCAGGTGGTAGAACTGTCAACATGTTCAACACCAACCAAACTAAAATGGGACATATCTGACAAAACGTTACTAGAGAACATAACGCAGTTTTATGTTGAAGAGAACGCACTTTCCTTTAAAGGAGTGCAAAACGTCATGCAGAATCTCATCTCATTGAGACATTTCAAAATAAATATGGTGGTCAGGTGGATAAAGAGAGGGCTGCTATCTGCTGTCTGCAAAATTCAATCACTGAGGCGGCTGGATTTGTTCTACAACAACATGAACAACATGACTTTGAAACTTGCTCCTTGCTCTCAGCTCACAGAGCTTTACCTGCAGGAAACCAATTTAGATGAACTGACGAATGGCTCAATACAATCGATGAAGATGCTGCAGGTCCTAAATATGAGTGACAACCAGCTCACTAGAGTTTCACACGACATTAGGAGCCTCGCCTTCCTTAAGGTCCTGCACTTGGATAACAATTATATCTCAAAGTTGAGCTGTGAGGATTTTGAGAACACAACCCGTCTCGTGGAGCTTAATCTGAACACAAACCAGATTCCAAGTCTGGAGAGATGCGTTTTAGAGCATCTTACTGAGCTAAAGCATTTAGATCTGGGTTACAATAAGCTGAGAGCATTTGGAGACACATTTAAAGTCGCCCTGCATAAGCTCGAGTTCTTGGACATGAGTGAAAACGATATAGATGAATTATTTTCAAATACTTTCGAGGGTTTACAGTCCCTAAGACATTTAAAGATGGCAAGTGACGATTTAACATTGATGAAAATTAAAACATTTCCTGAATTGAGGAACCTGGTGGACCTAAATGTCTCATTCCCATTTGGGTATAAACCTAAACTTCAAGGATTGCAGCGCTTGGAAAATCTTACAGTTTACTTTGGAAAAGGATTTACTTTTAAAAATCCTTATCCAAACAAACATGGTGGCTTAAGTGATTTGAAGTTGTTAAAATCTCTCACAGTGATTGGCTGCACAGACCTCCCCTTTCGTCTGCAGAACCTAAAGGAAATGCTTGAAGCTATGGGACATCTGGAAGCTTTCGAAGCTGTGGGTGTGTTTGAGGAAGCTCCAGATGTAGATACATTCCAGTTCAACCCCCATCTCAGCAGCCTGACATTAACAAACACTGACATGTCCGATCTGAAACCTGAACTGTTTCGACCAATCCCAAACCTGCAAAGACTCGATCTCACCAACTCGATGCTGAGATCTATGGGCTTTTTGCTGCAAGCCAACCTTTCTGCACTCAAATATCTGAAACTGACAGACAATAAAATTATTATGATCAAGGAGTCTGTTTGGGAAGCTCTGCCGTCTCTAACGTACTTAGACCTGAGCTACAACCTGTTCACCTGTGATTGCTCGAACGCAGGTTTCATCCAGTGGGTGAAGACCAACAAGCAGACACAGGTAGTAGACGCTCCTCAATATAAATGTTCCTTTCCTGTCAGCAAAGAAGGAACCTTGCTACTAGATTTCCATACACAGTCCTGCTTTAACGGCAGCTTTCTCTGCTTCATTTCCACCACTTGTTTAGTCGTTCTGACTCTCCTCACATCCTTGGTTTACCACTTCCTAAGGCAGCATCTAGTCTATGCATTCCACCTCTTCCTGGCCTTTCTCTACGACAGCAAACGGAAGAAGAAGAACGATGGTCATCAGTTCGATGCCTTTGTGTCCTATAACGTCCACGATGAGGGCTGGGTTTACAGAGAGATGCTTCCAGTGTTGGAGGGAGAGCAGGGATGGAGACTCTGCCTGCACCACACATACTTCCAACCAGGTAACATATCAGTCCTGCACCACACATACTTCCAACCAGGTAACATATCAGTCCTGCACCACAGAGACTTCCAACCAGGTAACATATCAGTCCTGCACCACACAGACTTCCAACCAGGTAACATATCACCAGTACTTCTTCAGTTTGTGTTACAAACCTCTGAGACGTAATGCAGAAGATTTAAACCTGGAGTATGTATGACAGTATGAGATAGATAATCAGAAAAAAAAAATCTGTGCTAACTACTGAAATTCAAAGCTTGGTCAGAAATCACCCTTGTGTATGCATTGCGAACATAAAATAAGTTCAGACAAGATAATACTTTATTGATCCTCAAAAGGGGGAAATTTGTTTGTCCCAGCATAACACACAACAATAAAAAAATGAAAATAATAATAAAAATATATAGATAGAATCGTATGATGTATGCAGCTAATTTGCTGTCAGAAAATTAAGTATGAGTTAATCCCATGTAAAGAGAGCTCTGTACTCCACTACACAAAAACAAAAAACATTTGTTATCTAGTTCATATTATACAATCACGACATTTAACAAATAAGTAAATTTTCATTTAAAATAAAATGCTTTAAATAAAATTAAAACTGACATTTTTCTTAGAGTTGCGTAGCTTGAAAAAATACTGAAAACATTTTAAATTAATATTTAAACAAACAGCCCTTTTTTAGGTGAGTGTCTCTTCAAAAGACAGCTGGTTTACTGAAGTTGTTGTGTCCACAGGTAAACCCATCATAGAGAACATCACTGACGCCATTTACGGCAGCAGGAAGACCATCTGTGTGATCAGCCGCAGCTACCTGCAGAGCGAATGGTGCTCCAACGAGTTTCAAATGGCCAGGTGGGGATAAGTGTTCAGATATTATTCAGACAGGTTGAGAAAAAAACATAAGCATTGCATGTTGTTTCTGAAACGGTTGCCATGTTACGACTACTGAGCAAAGTTTTTATTTACTAAGAGAACGAGGCAAGAAGATGTAATCTGATAACACTTCAACCGAGAATTATTTAATCTCCACTGTAAATACCTTCAAACTTTTCTCAAACTAAACTGTGCAATACACATTAAAGACATTTATAGGGACATCAGATAAAATGAAAATGAATGGTGGCAAACCGTAAGATAATATTTACTGCAAAAAGCAATAAATAAATATACATATAATATGCTTTACCAAAAAACCTGAAGCAATACATGAAGTAATTTATTTTTCTAGCCATTTTTTTTGTTTGTTTTTTTGGGGCATTTTCTCAGGTGATCTTGTTTTCACAACTGCTGAAAAGCTCTATATTTTATAGTAATAACTTGGTTAAATATGGCATTTTAAAGTACCTGTAGCATATATTTTGTTTGCAGGTCTTACATTATAAAAAAGCATAAAAGCTGAATAAAGTTCTCCGTTGAGCGAGTAACTTAATTGTCTCCAGTTTTTGTCTGATTTCTTGCAGCTTTCGTCTATTCGACGAACAGAAAGATGTTCTGATTCTGCTGTTTCTGGAGGAGATTCCTGCTCATCACCTGTCTCCATATCACCGCATGAGGAAGCTGGTGAAGAAACGCACCTACCTGAGCTGGCCCCAGGCTGCACAACATCCGGGAGTTTTCTGGCAGAACGTCCAGAGAGCTCTGCAGGCAGGGGGCGCTCTCACTGAACTGGTACCGGCTGGACGCTGAAAGAAGCAGCAAAATGGAAGCTTATTGTAAAAGTTTGCAGCATAAAATCAAGAAAGAGGAAAAGAGTAAAGTCACTTTGCTTGGGGAGGCTTTGTATGAAAAAGCCACATGCTAAAATTAATATTCAAGTAAAAAAACGTTCTGATTTAATCTAAACTCCTACTGGGAAACGGCAAAAGTTTACTTTGTCTTTCTGATAAAGGATCTTCAGACAATCTTTAATTCAACACAGAATACTTAGTTTAATGTCACTGTACGCTGGTAAAATATTAAATATGTAGTTATTCAAAACTATTTTCACCCGGATATCAGTTAATTATAATAATATTTTTGCTTTATCACAATATCATTTAGTTAAGAATTTTGTCAGTATGTTAATGTTTTACTTATATTAAGTTTCAGAAATTATGTGTTTTTCAATAATTTTGATTGTCTAAGGTAGAAAATTATTATTGTTGTTGTCTTCCTGTAGATAAACAGTCTTTAGTACATTTTAATAAATTATTTAGGTCATGGATATTTATCAAGTAATTCATATAAACCACAGCCAACAATGTACACTTCTGTAAAAAGTCATTTTCATTAAACAAAATTCATTTTGAAAGGAATGCTGTTAAATTTAAATAAAATTACAATGCATAGAAAATATTGTCTTTTACTTGCTCCTGAAGGTTCAACAGCGCCCTCTAGTATCAGGCTTATTTACTGCAATGTAAATATGTGAACAGTTTCGCTCCACATTCACAGGAAAATTAAAGAGAAACAGAGAATGTGAACAATTTCTACTGTCTTTTGTAGCTTTTATAGTTTTTTTTAAATTATTTAATGTGGGATTTCAAAATGGGAAGGTTTGACCCTGACGACAGACAACTTAACACCAACTTCTATAAATTGACACTTATTGTTGCAACTTAGTCAAAGCCGCAATGAACTTAAATCAAATCTTAGTTCATCTAAAAATTGAAAATGGTATCAATCCCCAAAACGTCAGACAACAAATCACCCATTTTCAATGCAGCAGATGTCTACTTTAGGGTAAAGTTTATTTTGGAGTAAGATGGGTAAATATGTGCATTTCATCTTTTTTTCTTTTTATACAAACTGATAGGTAGGAAGTTTGAGTTTTTACCTCATTCATGTGAAGAGGAACTAATACAATAAACAGAAAACCGCAGGGAGAACAATGATGCTCCCAGAATTTGCATCTTAATGTTTCAAATTCAAAACACTTTTCTGTCAGTCCTGACAGATTTCTAGGAGAAATCCTGATCGTTGAAAAAAGAAGAGAAAATTAACTCTAAATGAGTTTGTGAAACAATATGTGTAAAACAAAATGTGGCCCTTCTGCTTTATTTACAGTGTAAGGAGTAAAACATTTTCCAAACTTTAGAAATTTAGAGTCATGCACCAGTCCCAGACCATCACAAATAATAAAAAATTTATTTATTTAGCTAATGAGCTCGATAACAAGAGGAAAACACATAGGCCTTAAGGCGGAATTTAAAAACACACACATATATATATATATATATATATATATATATATATATATATATATATATATATATATATATATACACACACACACACACACACACACACACACACACACAGTTAGAGCAGACATGTCAAAATTGTTAAAATATTAATAAAGTACTTCTTAAAATTAAATAATATTGAGCATTTTTCACACTGATCAGACCCCTGAGGATTTTGCAATTGTTTTGTAATTTTTTTTTGTAATTTAATTTTTGCTTAAATTTAGAAATATTTACAGTTATGGAGAAGCGGTATGAAGTACTGCCACCTGCAGGTAGGAGGAGTTAGCATCACTCAAACCCAACGTTTTCCAAATTTTTTGCAGAAAATGTGCGATGAACCAACATTAATGCATCAGTGTGAAAAAATGCGAGTATCTGTGAATTTGTGTAAATTTTCATGGTTGTGGAATCACAAAAACCAAAGGAGTGATTTGGCAGTAAGAAGATAAAAACTTCTCTAATATTAAGACACACAACTGTCAGGGCCACATAAGATGCTGTGGTGGGCCAGATTTGGCCCCTGGGCCTTGGGTTTGACACCCAGGATGGGTACTGAACAGAACCTGGGTTCACGCTCAAAACGGATGTGTTAATATCAACACAAAATGTGTCAAAAACAACATCAATGTGTATACATAACAACACATTTTCTTTGCTAATAATTCAAGACTTATTGTGTTAAAAATTATTTCATTAAATTATTTTACACAGTCATTAAATAATTTTAATACGTCAGTTGTGTTAAAATATTAGCAACGTAAATGTGTCGAATTTAACACAAACTGTGGTAATTGAAAAAATTTAACCAAATAAAACATTTACTGTGTTACTCTGATGTCATAAATTTGATGCAAAGCATCTTTTACAAATATTTAACAGATACTGAATTATTTTTTCTTTGTGTTAAAATATTGGTAAAACTCCATCTGAAGCTCTGACATGTTGCTTCTCTTTCTGATATGATGAAATAAATGTCAGCCAAATGCCGACAGGACAGAAAAAACAATGAATTTTACTCTTTAATCTTCAAAGCAGTTCCTGATTTTACCAGTCAGATGAACCCACTGATCACAGCTCTTCCCTCACTGAGGTACCAGATACACTGCAGTGCTTTGTTTGGGTTAATTGGCGGGTACTAAAAAGGTGAAGCAGTTTTAATCAAATGCGATGGTCATTGTCTCTTTCAGGTATAAAACAGGGAACTTATTCAAGGTCAACCTGGCATGAAAGACGAACGTCGGGTGTCAAACTGTGAGTATCAGAACCATTTATGCATCTTTTATTAATACAACATTCACTTTTTGAATGAAAGCATTAATTTTAGTGTAACTCTTCATCAAATATTTGATTCAGCTACAAGAAAAACTCTGCAAGAGAGAGTTTGGCATGAAATCTCACTTATTCTGATTTAATTTAAAAAAAAATAGGCAGCAATCATGTTGATGCCATGCATAAATAAAATAATGACAAGCGTGCATTTATTATTTTATCAACAGATTAAAATATTTATCAACCTTAAGACTAAAACTCATCATTTTGAGTCAGTGAAAAGAAGCCGGACATGATCAATAAAACTGATCATTTTGATGAAACTGAAGCCATTTATCTCATTTTTTTCTAAATGACTGATGTTTTTATATGCAGAGTACTAGGGACATATTAATAAAAAATAAAATAAAAAATGAAATAATGAGAATAAAGTCATAATATTTTGAGAATCAAGTTACAGTATTGCAACTTTATTTGTATAAAGTGACTTCATTACACAAATAAAGTCATAATATTATGAGAATAAAGTTGTACAAGAATAAAGTTGAAATAACGAGAATAAAGACATAGTATTACAAAAATGAAGTCACAGTAATACAAGAATAAAGTCATAATAATACGGGAATAACATCATAATATTTTGAGAATTTAATCATAATATTACTAGAATAAAATGAGAATGTTTTGACTTTATTCTTGTAATCCTATCAATTTATTCTTGTAATATAAATTTTTTACTTTTACTTTTTTCTTAGCGTGGCTCTAACACTGTCATATTTTCAAGTCACTATTTCTGTTAATTATAATAATTTCCTGCTATTGCAAATAAAATCATGATCACATTTTGCAGACATGATGTTTTGTTTCTTATTGCAGGCCTGAAGATCAAGATCCTTGTAATTCCCAAGGATGGCCACTAGGGGACACTTGTTATTATTTTTCATTTTGGAACCGTTTTGTCTTCTTCACATTACTCCATCGCTGGCTTACTCACTGAAAAACTGCACCATACTTTATCAGGAGACTCGCTCTGCTGAGGTTTCTCTGGACTGCGCAAACAGGAACCTCGAGACGATCCCTGACGACTTTCCTAAAAATGCTGCTTCGGTTCAACTTAACAACAACAGGCTGAAGAAAATCACCAGAAAGGACTTTTCCAAAATGTCACAGCTGAGAAGACTCCATCTTGGATTCAATCAAATTGACATTGTCTACGATCGTTCTTTCAGTGATTTGGTTTTCCTTAAAACACTTTCCATGGAACATAACAACCTCAACCACCTGACCAGAGACGTGTTTTATGGCCTGTCCAACCTCACACTCCTCAACCTCAGCAACAATTTCATTCAGTTCATTGACTGCTCTGCTTTTCGCCACATGTACTGTTTACAAACTCTAGATTTAGGCAACAATGACCTCCAACAAATTGTTGAGATCCAGCCCGTTTTACAGCTACCACAAATACAGACCCTCAAACTAAGATGCAACCGGTTTTCATCATTCGAGACCAAAGAGCTTTCTCTGAACTTCTCCAGTCTGAGAGAGATTGACATTTCTGGTCGAAACCTGGAAAGATTCAGCATCACAACTCCAATCTTCCCTTTCCTCCAAATGATAAGTCTGTCTGGATGTGAAGGAAATTCAACCCTTAAATGGGACATAACAGACAAAACGTTACTGAAACGTGTGGTGAAGCTGTACATTGCAGACGCTGTGTTGTCATTTATAGAAACGGAAAAAGTCCTGAAGAGTCTCTACTCATTGAGCCATCTCAGATTACAACATTTAGATGAGTGGATTAGGAAAGGATTATTGACCACTGTCTGCAAACTACCAGCTCTAAAAACACTGGATTTGCCTAACTGTCTGACCAATTTCACTCTTAAATTTCAGCCTTGCTCTGAACTTACTCAGCTTTACCTGAGAGAAAGTTACATTAGTAAACTACCAAAAGGCTCACTTCAATCATTAGAACAGCTGCAGTTCTTGAATCTGACCACCAACCGGCTCACCAACGTACCGTTTGACATAAGACACCTATCTTCTCTGGAGATCTTGCTTGTTGGCAACAATCTAATTTCAGAACTGAACTGTGAGGATTTTCTGAACACAACCCGTCTGATAGAGCTTTACCTGAATAACAATCGCATTACCAAACTGAAGCGATGCGTCTTGCAGGGTCTCACTGATCTGAAGGTTTTAGGTTTGAGTAACAATCTGATTTTGACAGTTGGAGACACCTTTAAAAAGACTCTGTTCAAGCTGGAGGTCTTAGATATGAGCCATAACTCTATCATATCTCTAGAATCAGGTGACTTTCAAGGTTTACAGAAACTAAAATATTTGAATGTGACAAGAAACTCAATTGGAAAAGTAAATCCTGAAGTGTTTCAGGAGTTAATCAACCTGGAATCTCTTACAGTATGTCTCCCATATGATTATGAACCTAATTTCACGGGACTACAACTTTTAGAGCATATTACATTGTATTTGTACAATGATGGCATTTTAAAAACCCATCATTCAAACATTAATGAAAGCTTTTTTACCTTAAAATCTATGAAAACGCTCACTATGATCTCCAAAGACTGTCACTACGGCTTTCCGCTCGACATGCCAACTGAGCTCCTCCAGTCTATGAAGCATTTGGAAAGTTTCCGCGCCCTGAATATCTACATAAACGCCCCACCTGCAGAAACATTTCATTTTAATCCCCAGCTCAAAAGTCTGACACTTGCAGAAACAGATTTGTCAAACTTGAATCCTGGTATGTTTCTACCAATCCCAAACCTGCAGACTCTTGATCTTGCAAAATGCAAAATCAAGTCTTTGGATTTCTTGACGCAGGCCAATCTTTCTGCTCTCAGATATCTGAAACTCTCCAACAACGAGATCAGTCAGATCAAAGAATCAGTCTACCAGGCTCTCCCGTCTTTAACGTACTTGGACCTGAGCAACAACCCATTCACCTGCGAGTGCTTAAATGCAGATTTTATCACATGGGTAAAGAGCAACAAGGAAACACAGGTTATAAACGCTCATCAGTACGTTTGTTCCTTCCCGGTACACAAACAGGGAACCTTGTTGCTAGACTTTGATATCCAGTCCTGTTGGGACCAAGGCAACTTTTTCTTCTTCGTTTCCAGCTCTAGTTTGGTTGTTCTCACTCTCCTCACATCCTTCGTCTACCACTTCCTGAAGTGGCATCTCATCTACATGTTCCACCTCTTTCTGGCATTTCTCTATGACAGCAGGAAAGGGAAGAAGGCAGACTCCTACCAGTTTGACGCCTTTGTGTCCTATAACTCCCAAGATGAGGATTGGGTTTACCATGAAATGCTTCCTGTGCTGGAGGAAGAACAAGGATGGAGACTCTGTCTGGATCACAGAGACTTCCAACCAGGTAAAGGATGGATTTTACTATGTTTCTCTTTGTTTTTTCAAAGAAAATGTCATTTTTTAGCGTTCCTTGTATTGTCTGTCTATACTTCAACATATTTTTACTCAAGTTAAAGTAAAAAGTTGCCATCCAAGAAATTACTTAAGTAAGAGTAAAAAGGAATTTGGTAAAATATCTACTCAAGTACTGAGTAACTGATCAAATTATCAATCATTTAAAATTTCTGGATTTTATACCCACTGAATCAAAAACATGTTTTAGCCAAAAATTCAGCAGACACAGACCTACAGTTTTTGTTAAAGTTTCATATTTTTTTATTGAAAGAAACTTTACTTTGCCTGATTTGGCTTTTTTTTTTTTTTTTTGCTAACTATATGAATTATTGTCATTTTGGTCTTTAAAATATCAAATTTTCCACATAACTTTATACTTTTGTCCAACTGATGGTGTCATTTTAAAATATTAAATGATTGATAATATGATCAAATTACTTGGAAGGCTACTCTTTACTTTTATTTGAGCAATAATATGTTGAAGTAGTGCTACTCTTACTTGAGTACAATCTTTGGGTACTCTGCCCACCTCTGCTCATAGTGTAATATTAAAGCAGAAAGTTTTGCTGCTCTTTTAATGTCATTGCCTGGTAAAGTTTCTTAAAGACACTCTGATGCACCATATACGTTGTGTCCACAGGTAAACCCATCATAGAGAACATCACCGATGCCATTTATGGCAGCAGGAAAACCATCTGTGTGATCAGCCGCAGCTACCTGCAGAGCGAATGGTGCTCCAGAGAGATCCAGATGGCCAGGTATCTCTATTCAATGAGAAAATAAGAATATGGATGCTTCATAAAACAATATAAACCTTTCCAACTATCAATTACAGAATCAGGAACTCCCAGTGGTACTAATGACATAAAACCTTATTTGATCTCACTGATTGAAAAATGAGAACATTAGTTCAAGATTTACATTTCTTGTTATGACAGACAACAAACGAGGATTTTGAGTTGAATATGAATTTCTGCATAGATTTAATTCCCATTTCATCTGACCTCTTGCAGTTTCCGCCTGTTTGACGAGAAGAAAGACGTGCTGATTCTGTTGTTTTTGGAGGACATCCCTCCTCAGCATCTGTCTCCTTACCACCGCATGAGAAAGCTGCTGAAGAAATGCACCTACTTAAGCTGGTCTAAGGCTGAAAAACATCCAGGAGTTTTCTGGCAAAACGTCCGGAAAGCTCTGCAGACAAAGGACGATCCCCCTAAAAACCCAGCTCTCCTAACTGGACCAACACAATGCTGAGAGAAGTCAGAGAGTGTAGTCCCACTGAGAAGCTTTCAATAAAGATTTCTAAAAAGGGAAATCTTAAAACTGCATAGCTACTGTATATTGACCCTTTGCATCTACGTCACGCAATCAGGCGCCATGATGGACGTCGCAAGTGAGCGACGGGAGTATTGAGCAAAGAGACTGAAATTGTTTTCATAAGTTGTTTTTGCCAGTTCATTCGTGGCTTCTTCTTGTTCAATCAAACTAAATTGTCTTTGAACGTAACACACCTGGTCGGGGCTCATAGACGGCACATTTACAAAAGATGAAAACAGCTAGCTTAGAAACCGACCCATACCTCCTCAATCCTGATGTGTTGATCAAATTACCGACTGTGCCTGAATTCACACCGCATGATTTACATCACCAAGTCACAAACAGCGTTTCTCCTCACACCGGAGGAGCCTATAAAACGTACAGAAGACGAGATGCTAACCAGTTTTTTTTCATACATGCTAGGCTACATGACGGTGCGGCACCGTCTCCATGGTTACCAACGGTTAGACGCGTACTTTCTCCATAATGCGATATTTTATATCTTTCTAATTACACTTACTTTTAACGTAATCTTCTTACATTGTGAAAAGCGTTCGCTGCAAATCCGCGGTTACACCGAGGGCTGATTATGACTAACGGCTGCTATCCACCGTCGCCATCTTTCCTCATTAAAAGTCATACAATAAAATGACAAGTTTGGTTTCTATCCTTGTCTATTTGTGCAGTCGACCGCGCAGCATCCTGTCACCATTTTTAAAGTGAAATCAACTAAATAAAAGCGATTTTTGGTTACCGGCTGCCTGTTTACAGGCTTTAAATTAACGCATCGGTTGTTTTGACGTCTGTCATGGCGGAGTGGGCGGAGTTCTGAAGAGCGTGACGTCATGTGGAAAGGGTCAATAACTTAAACTCACAATCCGTAAGCAAGGAACTGTTTATATAAGACTGCATGAGTCAAGCTTTATGTTCAGTGCTCAGTCCAACATCTGGAATTATGAAGATAAATGCAAATAGTATAAAAAGTATATAAAAAATATCTGTTTATCCAAAGTACGATAGGATATTATTATGTTTGTATGAATAGCTAAAGGAGGTTTAAATTGTCATCCATGAGTAGTGGTCACATTCAGGCAAAAGGGGAACAAATAACACAAAGAACCACTGGCATTCTGTGAAAAACTCCATGTATTGAATTTACATCTCACTTTATGCTTCTTTTTTTCTTTTTAGTTTATTTCACTTTTTAGTTTATTGAACTTTTGTTACTATTCTTCACAAGTGTGTATCTTACGTGTGTAAAAAACAAATAAAGAACCTCATTGGTGCTTTACCCTGATGTATGTAAAGGTTGTGTCTGTGCAGCAATTAAACACTTCTTTCTGAATGCGTTTAAAAGAATCTCAGTGAAGACAACACAACAGTGGAGGGTCATGAGGGTTGTATCTTCCTATTTTCCTTATTTAGTAACTGAAGTCGCTCACATCACAAGTGGTAGTGAGTCTGTTGGTGTTGGTGTGACTTTCAGAGAAATAAGGAGGAAGTCTAACAACGCAAACATTTTACGCTTCGCTTGACACAAGTGCCTTCCTGTGAGTATCAGAAACTTTATTGATTCAATCAATGACTGGAAATTCCTACATTTAAGGAATATTTTGTTGGTTAAACGTTGCACCTATTCTGTGAGAAAGAACACGTTATGTGTAATTGTTTCTAAGCTAATGCAGGAAAAAATTGTGATTACATAATATGTTGCAAGTTAAATAATGCCCATTCCTGACAAACTAAAAATTTAAAATAAAATTCTATTGTGAGATGATACTTAGATTAAAAAGTCAGTGAAGTATTCCAGTATAGTTTTTGCAAAAAATAACATCCTTGGGTAAATCTTTGACTTGGTTATTTACGTTTTTGTGCTCGTTGTTTTGTCCAGCTGTAGCTGTTTTATCCCATTTTCATGAAATACGTCTTAAAGTTTTGTTCAAAGTTTCTGTCACTTTTGCCAAAATCATCATGTTTGTGATTGGGGCACATAATATGATAAAAAAAACACATAATTCAAAACACATAGTTTTGGTGATATGCATTTTTATCAGCTTGACTACAAACTTTTAGAACAAACCAAGTAGATTTTTATGAAAAGATGATCTGTAAATCATTGTTGAACATAAATGTAGAATTTAAATAATGAAAGAAAAGCATTAATTTCCAAAATTTTGCAGCATCAATGATTGTTTAGTTTCTTGGTGAAGAAACATCTCTTATTCTTGGCAGAAAGAACAAAACATAAATAACTTTTTTCTAAAACGATCAGCAAAATTACTGAACGACTACATCCAGTTCTGCTTTTAGTAAAAGTTTAAAAATGTCTGTAGTCCAGTTTGCTCAGCAACTCCTCTAACCCTGCAAACATATTGCTATTAAAAATAGCAATATGCAGAGTGTGACAAATGTTGTAAATCTGATTAAAAAAATAAAAAGAAAAGAAACAAACACCGTCATTCATCCCCTTTTTTGGATTTGTTTCTTAGACCGTCTTATAGCTCAGTAGGCATTTTCTGTGACTTTGTTGCTCAGTTTTCTGCTTTGATAAACTTCTAGTTCAACTTAATTTCGCACAGGAGAAACAAATTGTTGAAGCATTTCAAAGATTACCAGTAGAAACCAGATGCATCATGGGAAAGGGTGGGAATATTTTTGTCAAATATGTTCAAATGTTTCACTTTTTGTCTGAAAATGTGATATTTTCTAAAGTTTTCCAAAATAAATCTTTGTCATTAACTAAGAAAGTTGCACTAAGTATTTTTTCTCTGTTTTCAGGTTTTCTGCAGACAACCATCATGGAACAACACTGATAAAAAAAACTAACCTAAAATAAGCATGGCTGCAAGAGGAAGTGTGCATTTTTATTTCACACGCAAACTTCTCTGCCTCTTGCTTCATCTCAATCTTTCGCTGCATTACTCTTTGAAAAACTGCACAAAGGAAAGTTCCTCTGCTGAAGTTTCTCTGGACTGTGCAAACAGGAAGCTTGTGATCATCCCTGATGACATCCTGAAAGACGCCGTTTCAGTAAAACTTGGACACAATTTCATTCAGAGAGTTAACCAAAGAGATTTTTGTGGCATGTCAAAGATGAAAATCCTGCATCTTGAGTACAATAAAATCGTCCAGGTGGATGATGGTTCTTTCACCGATCTGGTGTCACTGAAAACTCTCGACATGAGGGAAAACAAACTCACCAACCTGACAAGCAACGTCTTCCAGGGCCTGTCCAACCTCACCATGCTCGACCTCTCACACAACTTCATCCGGTTCATGCATGACTCAGCGTTTCGGGTTCTGACCAGCTTAGAAACTGTGAATTTCTATTCGAATATGCTCCAGCAAATTGTTGATATTCAGCCCATCCTACGACTACCACATATTCACACCGTCGACCTTACCTACAATCCATTCTGCTCTTTTGAAACAAAAGATCTCCATCTGAATTTTTCCTCAGGTCTTAAAGAGTTGTCTGTTCGTAGTGAACACCTCATAAAATTTGGCATCACTACACCAATTTTTCCTCATCTCCATAAATTAGATGTTTCTATGTCTTCGCAAAGCAGTGCACGATGGGATTTACCAGACAAACCATTACTAAAGAACGTGACACACTTGTGTCTTGAAATACTTTCACTTTCCAATGAGGAGATTCAAAAAGTCCTGCAGACTTTCTACTCACTTTATCACCTACGACTATATTTTACATACATCCGGTTTCGGGATGGACTGTTGGCTATTGCCTGCAAAACACCAACACTGAGAAAGCTGGATTTGTCTGAAATCGATTTCAGTATGTATACTCTCAAACTTGCACAATGCTCTCAGCTCACAGATCTTGATCTGTCCCTTTGTGTAATAAGTGAACTTCCAGAAGGATCAATGGACTCAATGAGGCAAATGAGGTTTTTCAACGTGAGCTACAACAAGCTAAAAAAGATCCCGCATGACATCAGGAGCCTCTCCTCCCTTGAGATCTTGATTATGAATGATAACATCATTTCCCACTTGGGCTGTGAGGATTTTGTTAACACAACGCATCTTACAGAACTACACCTAAATGGTAACAGAATTGCCAAAGTGCAAAGATGCGTCCTGGAAAGTCTTACTAACCTAAAGCTTTTAAATTTGAGCGACAATTTGCTCGTGACGTTCAGAGCCTCCACCAAAGTTGGCCTGCAGAAGCTTGAGATCTTGGATTTAAGTCAAAACTTTATAAAATTTCTCAATAATTATGATTTCCAAGGCTTACCTTCCCTGAAACATTTGAATGTGACATCATATTTTATGACCTATCTAAAATATCATACATTTTTGGGACTAAAAAGCCTAAAATCGTTTTCTGGATCATTTCCACTATATTTTGTAAATTTGAGAACTTTGCCACAGTTGGAAAATATTCAAGTCAACTTCAAATTCAATGGCCCTTTCAAAACTCCTTATTTAAAAACCTATGAAGACTCCATCAAGATAAAATCCTTAAAAAGTGTCTCGGTGGCCTGCAGGTATGATCACCCGGGTCTGATCTACTACCTGGAAAGAGGAATCCTTCATAACATGAAGCATCTGGAATATTTTAAAGCTGAGAATATTTATCTGAGTGCTCCATATTCAAACACTTTTCAGTCCAACCAGAAGCTGAGGAGTCTGACATTTACGAAGACGGATTTGTCAGAGTTACAACCTGAACTGTTTCTTCCAGTCCCAAACCTGGAGAGTCTCGATCTCTCCGAGTCTCAGCTGAAGTCTTTGGATTTCCTGGTACACGCTAATCTGCCTGCACTCAGATATCTGAACCTGGCCGGCAACGAGTTGAATGTGATTAACAAGACAGTTTTCCAGTCTCTACCGTCTCTAACGTTCTTGGACCTGGACAAAAACCCGTTCACCTGCGAGTGCTCAAACGCAGATTTTATCCAGTGGGTAAAGAGCAACACGCAGACCCAGGTGGTAAACGCTCATCAGTACGTTTGCTCCTTTCCTGTGTCCAGACGGGGGAGCTTGTTGCTGGACTTTAATTTCCAGCCCTGTTTGGATGATGGCGGGTTTCTCTGCTTCATTTCCAGCTCTTGTCTGGTTGTTCTGACTCTCCTCTCATCCTTCGTTTACCACTTTCTGAGGTGGCATCTCACCTACACCTTCCACCTCCTCCTGGCCTTTCTCTATAACAGCAGGAAGGGGAGGAAACGAGACCCTCACCAGTTTGACGCCTTTGTGTCGTATAACGTCCGCGATGAGGGCTGGGTTTACAGAGAGATGCTTCCTGTACTGGAGGGACAGCAGGGCTGGAGACTCTGCCTGCACCACAGGGACTTCCAACCAGGTGAACTCTGCTTTTATCTGGGCTTTTTAATTCACAGTTCTGATCGAGTCAAGACAAGACATTTTATGCATATAGTTTCTCCCCGATGGTTTTCTCGAGAAAAATTAATTCCCCGATGGTTTTTCCAAGATCGAGAGTTACTTTCTTTTTCCCAATAGTTTGCTCAAGATAACGTGTTAATTTACCATTTTAAAGATACTTTTTCCGATTATTTTCTCGAGATAAGTTAATTAGCTCTTTTCCGCATTTTTCTCCAAAGTTTGTTTTTCCCAGAAACAATGAGTTAATTTCTCATTTTGCATATATATTTTATTCTGACGGTTTTCGCAGAAGGCGTTAATTTCCTCAAGTTTTTTTTGTTCATGATGTAATTTACTTAGCTGTAACAGGCTATTTTACTGCTGTACTGGGCTTAATAAATGGAAGATTAAGCCTGAATGACTCATTTAATCAGCATAAACAAAATGAATACTTTTATCGTTATCTGTGTTTTATTACCATTTCATCGGGTTTTTTTAAATCAGATTTTAAACTGTTGCTGTTTTTATCGTAACCCTCTCATATCATATCACAGGTAAACCCATCATAGAGAACATCACCGATGCCATCTACGGCAGCAGGAAGACCATCTGTGTGATCAGCCGCAGCTACCTGCAGAGCGAATGGTGCTCCAGAGAGATCCAGATGGCCAGGTGGGGGCGCTGTCTCTGACCTGTTAATCTCAAGAATAAAGCTCTTTTAGATATAAATATATCAGCTGTCTAAGTAAAGCAAAATTTTATCTATTTCATCCATTTTATTATTCAGAATGTTTATTATGTGTAGCCTATGAATTTTTATGGACCTATAGGAGGCGCTGTCTCTCAATAAAACATTTTATCTTTTAACAAAATATAAATTTTTACTCTAGATAGGACATTATCACTGACAAACATTTTATATTTTCCAACAAACAACAAATATATCCAACTGGGACATTTTTATTGTATTTCTTACTTTCTAAAGTTGATCAAGAGAAACAAAGTGTAATAAAATGACTTTTCAGGTACATTAAACTAATATTATTAATAAAGGTTTAAAATAACTGGAGTTGGGAACAGAAACGCTGGATGAGGATGATGGTAAACAAGTAAAACATAAATATCCAAAGATGTTTAAGAACATAAATGTTTCATGTAATCCTGTTGCAACAAACTGATTAATTTGACTTAGTGGACAGAACACAAACAAAGCCAAAAATGTAGCATGAACCAGGGCTCGCAGATGCTACAAAAACAAACATGAGAAGAAAAGTTTGTTGGTTTTTCTCCTTTTATTCTACATTATTCTGTCCATACAGACATAAAAAAACCATATAGAAAATATAACTTGCACACAGTTTAGCTAAATGTGTTCTCCCCACTCTCACATGAATGCAAAAGGCCTGTATGCTGCTCAGTGTATAAGTAGATTGATAAAATAAGGTATTGCAAAGTTTCATTTTCTTTTATATCAGAAATACTAATTAGTTTGATTAGAAAACTCTTCAGGTTTATGATTTAAATAAAATGTTTAAATAAAATTAGGCTAATGTTCTTGGAAAGTGTTCTGCAACTACAAGACAGTGTTTGATAGCTTTACTGTTTTTCTTTTGTCTGATTTCTTGCAGCTTTCGCCTGTTTGATGAGCAGAAGGATGTTTTGGTCCTGCTGTTTTTAGAAAACATTCCTGCTCATCATCTGTCTCCATATTACCGCATGAGGAAGCTGGTGAAGAAGCGCACCTACCTGAGCTGGCCTCAGGCTGCACAACATCCGGGCGTTTTCTGGCAGAACGTCCAGAGAGCTCTGCAGGCAGGGGGCGCTCTCGCTGAAAACACGGACCTGCTGCTGGGACCGGCAGGACGATGAGAGACGTCACAGATCTCTAAGAAATAAAAGATAAATCAGGAATATATGCAAATCCTCATCTGTGAAACCATCGCACTTATTTCTTTTTATAATAATTTCAATGCTTAAAAAAACTGAACATTTCTCAATGAACCTTTACTTCTTGTAAAATACGATTAAAAATCACATCACTAAAGATGCCAAGTGAGTTAAAGTCATTCATGAACTCCTCTGGATGAAACAGAAGTGCAAACAGAAATATCAGAAGAAAACTGATGTGTGTTTCTATTATTTATTTTATTTTTTAGTGATGTGAATATTCACTGTAAAACATTTGAGCTGCACTTAGTTGTGTCTACTATCTTCTACTCTAAAAGTCACATAAATGTCTCCAGTTTAGATTTTGAACCCAAATGTGAGTTTGTGAAAAATAAGTTAACTTTTTTATTAATTTTGTCAAAACTCTAAGAGTTGAATAAACAAGAGTTAGCACTTTAAAAACTGAGAGGAAAAAGACAGGCGTAAGAACTATTTCCCAGAATGCTTAGCGGCATGTTTGTGTATCCTGAGATGGAAGTGTGTTAGACTGAACTGAGTCTTGTTTTATTAAGACAAATGTTCATTTTAATGTCCTGATCACACTAAATGTTTTGAGCAGAATTCTTTGGGATGTTTAAAAAAATTCAACATCAGATCTGAAATCTTGTTCATGCTACGTAAAACAAGAATTTAAATCATTCTAAAGTAAAATAAGTATTTATTTTAACTTGATATTGTGAGTAAAATAATAGAGAAATCTGGCTCTTTAATTAGATGAGGGCAGGTTTTTTCTTGCATATTGTGAAATAATTATTTGGTTTACGTTGCAGCATTAAGTTAAAACTCACAATTCAAGATTAATGAATTTAAAAAACAATGTTTAGAAAACTTGTTTCTTGTTAAATCGACTTCATGATCTTTAATTTCAGAGTTAAAAGCAAAACAATTTGAATTGAATTTTCAAGGCAGCAGGTGGATTTTCATTTTCAATTTAAACCACCTTCACTAAGTTTTACAGTGTTGCTGAATGAGCTTGTCTTCTTTCCTCTGTCCACCAGGTGTCACTGTCGTACAGCTTCTAATGGACTCCACATTTCTGGAGTTCAGGTAGTTATTGTTGGTTTATCAAACAAAAACATTATTACTCCTTTTTAGTATAATAAGTGCTCATCATCAACCTGCTTTAATGTCAGAATACAACATCTCTACTTCTTATTAACTAAATTTACCAAATATTTGATGCATTAAAACTAAAGTACTAAAATGCTGTTAGAGGAAGACACTGAACAGTACATGTAGGGAGAGCATAGCTTCCTTTTTGTTGGTGTTAAGACGTGAAGCAACTCGTCAGTTCAGACATTTACAGCTTTGGGCATCAAACTGTGAGTACTAAAATTTGTTCTTAGCCTATCTTTATGCAAGATCTAATTTTGGTTTTCATTTGGCATACCAAAAGCTGTTTGGGTATATGTATGGCAGGCTAGGCTTTTAGGGACCGATGGCTTTATTTCAGCAGTTTCCACAACAATAAACCAGTCAACTGGAAAAAACAGTCAACACCCATGAAACATTGACTGAACCTCTCAGGCGAAATGTGAAAGGTCACTTAACTGAACCTGTTTAGTCCCAGTTTATTTCCTGCAAAATAAGTGAATGCATGTCAATCCCTGGACCTCCTTAATGCATAATATTTATGCGTTATTACATTAATAATGCATAAATTACATTACATTTGATGCTGGTTATGTGATAATTGTTGCTATGCTTACATTTACTCTTTTTTGATACATGCAGGGATGAAATTCTCATTATGCATCAGTAGAAGACTCTTTAAAGAATAAATATACAAGATATTTTAGTTTTATTTGTTTATTAAAGTGTTTTACTGACTTCCTCTTATGCAGATATTCACTCCCGGTGTAAAGGTACGAAGTGAAAAGGTTATGTGACTATTAACACTACCTACATTAAATTGATATTGCTTAGAGTATACAACCTATTATTTTGTTTTATAACTTCAATCATCAGCCAAAAGCCAAAAATAAATAAATAAAAAAAATAAATAAAAAACACTTTTAGACCTTCAAGAAGTTAGAAAAATATCTGACACCAATTGTTGCTTATGGGATTAAATGGGTGATCCTAACCAAAGTGTTATTCTTCCACTGCATTTTTCTTTTGCAGGTGATGATCTTCAGATAAACATGGCCTCTATAAATACTTTATCTTTATACTTTATTCTTAATCTTTTCATTCTGCTGCTTCCTGTTAACCCTTTGCTGGCGTTTTCATTAAAAAACTGTACTATACTTTACAAGGAGAACATCTCTGCTGATGTTTCTGTGGACTGTAGAAGCATGAACTTTGTGACTGTCCCTGATTACATCCCTAAAAATACTTCGTCAATACAACTTGGAGACAATCAGCTCCTAAGTATTAACAGAAAAGACTTTCACGGCATGTCAAAGCTGGTAAATCTGAATTTAACAGTGAATAAAATTGCTTACGTTGAACAAGGGTCATTTATCGACTTGGTTTTATTGGAGACACTTGATATGGGAAATAACAAACTTACCAGTCTGACAGCCAACATGTTTGAAGGCCTGTCCAACCTCACAGTTCTGGTCCTCAGCAGAAACAAGATCCAGCATATTCATGAATCTGCCTTCCAGTGTTTGACCAGCTTACAAACTCTTGATATCGCCTTTATTCCACTTCAGAAAGTTGCAGAAATTCTACCAGTCTTCCATCTCCCGCAATTACTTACACTTAACTTAAAATACATCAACTTCACTACTTTTGACACCAAAGATCTCCCTTTGAATCTCTCCTTGAGTCTTAAAGTGTTGGAAATTTCTAATTCTAATTTGAAAATCTTGAGCATCATAGGGAAAATTTCCCCTTACCTCCAGACAGTAGACGTTTTACTCACAGATAGTGTAAAATGGGTGTTATTTGACAAAAGCTTACTGAAGAACATAACAAGCTTGGATGTTGCCGTAGCATCAGATTTTTTTGACGTAATCCATAAAGTTCTGGAAAGTCTTGAAAGACTGAGAGATATAAAGTTTGAATGTGTGGATAACTGGATTGAAAAGGGTCTGCTACCTGCAGTCTGCAAAATACAAACACTCAGGAAGCTTACTATTTCCCAAAGCCATTTTCACAATTTTACTACTGACCTTGTATCATGCGCCCAGCTCAGAGAACTTAACCTGGAAGATACTTTCATGGATAAACTGTCAAAAGGTTCAATGCAATCAATGATGCAGCTGCGATTCTTAAACCTGGGTTACAACTTCCTCACCGAAGTTCCAGGTGACATAAGGAGCCTCTCGACTCTTGAGATCCTGATTATGAGTGCAAATGACATGTATGGGTTGAAATGCGATGATTTTTCCAACACCACGGGTCTGAAAGAACTTTACTTGAACATAAACCACATAACCAAACTGGAGAGGTGTATTACTGAAAACCTCGTCAATCTAAAGGTTTTGGATATGAGTAACAATAAGTTGAAAGAATTCGGAGATTCTTTCAAAATCTCCCTGCAGAAACTTGAGGCCTTAGATATCAGCCACAACCCCATAAGGTATCTGGAGACAGATGTTTTTCAATATTTAAAGTCTCTCAAAGAACTGAAGGTGGAAACCTATCATTTTGTAGACGTACCTTATTTCAGTGGCTTAGAGAACATTCAAAATGTAACAATCTACTTACATACAGACAGGACTTTCCAAAGTCTTCAGTCAAACAATGATAAACCCTTTAGTGATGTTAACACAATGAAGCAGCTAACTCTAATCGGAAGCAGCAATACCCAATGGGTGCCCTTTAATACAATTAGGGAAATGCTCAGAGCTTATGGAGATTTGGGAACCGTTACGGTTTTGAATATCTATATAAATTACTATGAAGTGGAAACATTTGAGCTGAACCTCCAGCTAAAAAGTCTGACGTTATCATCGACAGATTTGTCATACTTAAGCTCTAAATTCTTCCTACCACTGCCAAACCTGCAGCACCTGGATCTCTCCATGTCTAAACTCAGGTCTTTGGATTTTCTGGTCCAGGCCAACCTTTCTGCTCTCAGATATCTGAACCTAACTGACAATGAGATCAGTGTTATTAACGAGACAGTCTTCCAGTCTCTACCCTCTCTGAGGTTCTTGGCTCTAGACAACAACCCGTTCTCATGCGAGTGCTCAAACGCAGGCTTCATCCATTGGGTAGTGACCAACCCCCAAACCCAGGTGGTAAACGCTCATCAGTATAAATGTTTCTTTCCTGTGGACAAACAAGAAGCCTTGTTACTAGAATTTGATGTTCAGTCATGTCGAGACGATGGCAGCTTTCTTTACTTCATTTCCAGCTCTTGTCTGGTTGCTCTGACTCTCCTCTCATCCTTCGTTTACCACTTCCTGAGGTGGCATCTCACCTACACCTTCCACCTCTTCTGGGCCTTTCTCTACGACAGCAGGAAGGGGAGAAAGAAAGACCCTCATCGGTTTGATGCCTTTGTGTCCTATAATGTCCGCGATGAGGGCTGGGTTTACAGAGAGATGCTTCCAGTATTGGAGGGAGAGCAGGGATGGAGACTCTGCCTGCACCACAGAGACTTCCAACCAGGTAAACTCTGGGTTGACCCTTTGCACGTGACGTCACGCTCTCCATAACTCCGCCCCTCCACCATGACAGACGTCAAAACAACCAATGCGGTCCTGTAAAGCTGGTCTAAAGACAGACATCTGTAACCTAATATCGCTTCTATTTAGTTGATTTCATATTAAAAATGGTCACAGGATGCTGCGCCATCAGCTGGTAGGGATAGAAACCAAACTTGTCATTTTATTGTTTAACCATTAATGAGGAAAGAAGCGGCAACGATGGAAAGTAGCCGTTAACAGTGACTGTCAGCCCTCCATGTTACTGCGGATTGCAGAGAACACTTTTTACAAGGTAAGAAGATTAACGTTCATCTACCTTATGTGTAGATGAAAGATATCAAATACCACCTTATGGAGAAGGTATGTGTCAAACCGTTGGTAACCATGGAGATAACGCCGCACCGTCATGTAGCCTAGCATGTCTGGAAAAACTGGTTAGCATCTCGTCTTTTGTCCGTTTTAAAGGCTCCTCCGGTGTGAGGAGAAACGCTCCTTATGACATAGTGATATAAATAATGTGGTGTGAATTCAGGCAAAGTCTGTAATTTGATCAACACCTCAGGAGGGAGGAGGTATGGGCTCTAAGCTAGCTATTTCCAACTTTTGTCAGTATCGCCATCTTTGAGCTCCAACCAGGAGCGTTATGTTCACAGACAAATTAGTTTGTCTGTGTTTGTCACTGAAAAACAACTTATGAAAACAATTTCAGTTGCTCTGTTCAATTCTCCCATCCCTCACTTCAGACATCCATCATGGCGCCTCCAGTGGCCCCCAGTGGCGTTTGTCGAGTATCACTGACTTTCAGGTCGGTTGAATACAACCTGATACAGACTCCGATCACAAGTGAAAAGATCAGATACATATCGGATATCAGGCCTGGGTCGCATGCGTAAAAAATCCGATCTGTTCAGACTGTCATGAAAAGATCAGATACAGGTCGCCTTAAGGCAAAACAGTCAGAACTGGGTCACTTCAGGCTGCAGTGTGAACGCAGCATTAAGTGACAGATATCTTTTATAAAAGTTACATACTGCAGCTTTAAACACAACCATTTTCTCATTTACGTTTTGTTATTCTTTTCATTTCCTACCATGAAAAACTCCAATCAAATAACAACTAATGCGTCTGACAGGTAAACCCATCATAGAGAACATCACTGATGCCATCTACGGCAGCAGGAAAACCATCTGTGTGATCAGCCGCAGCTACCTGCAGAGCGAATGGTGCTCCAGAGAGATCCAGATGGCCAGGTGGGGGCGCTGTCTTTCTGAATAATTAAAGTATAACAATTCTGTCTTCAAGAAAAGATTATAGAATTTTTGAGAGAGCAACATGAGAGAACAACGTGCAAAAAAATTGTTACGTTTTATGCAGTTATTTATGGATTATGCCAAATTGTAAATGTCTGCAACGGACAGGTACAGACAAAAATATGCGGTGCACCATTTCATGATTTTGATTATCACATTTCTACAGCTGCGGTTCACTGGTGACACCTACAGGATGTAATGGAAAACCTGAGATGTGTTTTTTGGGAGAACTTTCAGCCAAATTATTATCATTTTAGCTTGAATTTAAATTTATCTTTCTGTTTCCACTACTGCCACCTGCTAACACAACATAGGTATTACAGTACTATTTATTATTATTGGGCCAGATGAAATAATAGTCTGAGCAAAGTAGCAGTGTTCCTAGTCAGACAAGATGAATAAAATGTAATACTATTCGAATCAAATCTAATTTTATTTTTATAGCACAGTTCAGCAACAGTTCAAAGTTCTTTACATCATAAAAACACAACAATCAACAATTTTGTTGATTACATTTTTACAGTACATTTTCCCAAATACTGTCCAACATCAAAATGTTGGTTAGTGTTTCATTCATAATGTTTCAAAATCAAGTCTACAGTCGACTTTTTAGTCTAGACTTAAAGGCACTCAGTGTTTCGGCTGTTTTACCATTTTATGGAAGTTTGTCCAAGAAGAGCTGGGAAGTCTGGAAGGTTGATTATTATGTTTTTCTTTTTTGTTTTGCAGCTTTCGCCTGTTTGATGAGAAGAAAGATGTTCTGATTCTGTTGTTTCTGGAGGAAATCCCCTCCTACCATCTGGCT